ATTAAGATACATACACATATCATTATGTGGATTAGTTAATGAATTAATTTATTTTTATAATGTTTAATTAATTCCATTATTTCGTTCCCAGTGCATTAATTAAAAACATGAAGTTTAAAAATCAAAAATACATCGCTGACGATGCCGGTTCAAGTCCTGCCAGAATCGAATTTTTTTAAAATTTATTTACTATTTTTAAATAACACGTAAAAATGATTAAACTTTTCAAATTGAGTAAGTTTTCAATGCAATTACAAGACAATTTCCGAGGGATAAAGTCGTTGGTAGATAGAACTTACACTGTTTCTAGTTGGAGCTAATCCAAACACTAGCCTTACACAAGATCTCGTGTGATTGGGTTTTGTGGTTTGCAGAATATTATTGTTATATATTGGCATAATATTCGACCTAAATATATTCAGAATTCATACATAGCATACCTTCGTTTGCGTTGCGTTGCATAGCTTTGCGTTAAGAGAGGTCCTACTTTTGAATCCCAGGTAATAATAAAGCTATAATAAAATCTATACTAATATTATAAATGCGAAAGTAACTCTGTCCGGCTTTAATTCCGAAATTACTGAACTGATTTAAATGAGATTTGGTACACAGACATTTTAGATCCCGAGAAAGGACATAGTCTTTTTAATGCCAAATAAGGGTTGATAGTGGTTGAAAAAGTGGATGAAAGTTTGTATGGAAATTTATGGTTTTTGAAGCTAGAACAATGAAACTTTCTTCTTTGGCTTTTTGGGAATAGGAGTGAGAGTGAGAGTAGGTGTGGGAGTGAGTGTAGGAATGAGAGTAGGAGTGATGTGAGGTGAGAGTGTTGCGGCAAAGTAGCACTACAACATAGATTAAATGCGCACTTCTATCCCAAATCACTAGTCGGGCATGGCACAGATAGGGCACAGATCAACTATTTGCCTGTTTGGTTTTAGTTTTAAACGCGATATATAAAGCTACGGCTGCTGCAAAGTATCCAAAACGTCGGGCCGGAGTAAAAATAGTTTTCAAATAAGTTTAACCAATACATATATATCGCCTCGCGTAACCTACAGATAGTATATATATATTGATATATATAGATATCTTGTTATACAATATTGGGCTATGTCTGACTTTAAATACTTTCACTAAGCGTTCAAAAGTTTATTATGAGACACAAAAGACAATTGCATGTTTATTGTTGGAAAACAAATGAGTTTTAATCCTTCTGCAATAAAAAAATGTGTTTTTTGCAAAACAACAAATTAATTCGTTAAAATTAAAATTATTATATTAATTCTTGTTTATAAGTTATTTCAGGTTAATTTTGTACGAGAAAAGCATGTTGCGTTCATGAATGTATGTCGTGAACTTAAAATAAAATGAAAGGTAAGAGTATTATTGTATCATTAAAACATAATGATAATTATTCGTAACAGAAGAGTGAAAGTGATTCGTTTCCCATACGAAATATCGATACGTCAATCACATTATCACGCTAAACGAAATAATATAAAACTGAATAAACGTATTGGAATCGACGGCCAGCGAACCCACGACGCGTCAGTTAGCCATACATTGTTACCCCTCCACTTGAAATCTTGTTGTAAGTTGGAAGCTTTGTTTTTCCTTGAAGCGTACTTTGCCTTATCTCCACACATAGCATACCCATTGTATAAGGCTGAAAATGAAGTCGAAATAATGCCGAGTTCAGAGTAATGTTTCCCAACAAGTGTTCACCAAGATTTATGATCAACCCTCAAACCCGGGGTCGGTTTATTAAGTGTGTAATAGACGGCGGTCTACTACTTATACGTCATGTCATACATACAAGACACTACTTTATATGACATGAAGCAAAATGCTGATTTCATTTTGTTTTAGCACCAAAAAGGATGTTTGAAAACTTTAATATTTTTTAAACATTGCACACGACCTTAATACGCAAGTGCTAAGATTGAAATTACATCGCGCGAGAGGTGCATGTATCTATAAGTTAAAAAATTCGACGATAAGGTGTAGGACCTGGTAGCTCAATTGGTTAAAGTTTAAATATTATTGAAGGGAGAAGAAATATATATTATCATGATTAATTTTTTTTAAATAAATTTTGTGTTTTTTAAAACATATCTAACAGGCGTTTCTCTATCATGGTTGGAAGTCGAAGAAAATGAACACATTGAAATATTATTTCTGTTGTAATATACTTTAACTCAGGAACTTCGTAAAAGGTACATCGAGACTAAAGAATGGCGGAACTTTTCAGCGACTTGTTTGTCAACTTGTACGAGTTATATTTTCTGTCTTTATAAATTACGAAACTTTGTGTATATTTTATGTTTTATCTCAGTCATCAGCTTTGTTTGGGAAGCTGTATTATGAAGATTGAAATACAAAGTTTTCATTGACGAATCATGTGTTTTCGGGGGAGAACTTTGAATTGACTGTTATTTGAAGCATGTAAAACAACAAAATTATTATTTACGGATTCAACAACATACACATAGAGATATTCGATATCGGATATCTCTGTACGTCCCATTATATGAAAAAAACGGCTTAACTTTACTTTACAAATATTTGATTTCAATGGTGAAAATTAATATCACAAAAACTAGGAATTTCCGCAAGTGGAAATTTTAGGAATATCCTTAGATGTGCAGGTACCATCGACCAAATTTTCAGCGTTCAAATCAAACGTATGAAAAGTAGAACTGTGCCAAAATGACATTGAACTAAATAGTAATAAGTTTAACTAATATATCGCGTTTTAAACCGTTAAAGTGTTTTATTTAAATGTGTTCTACTCGCGTAAACTATAGACAGTAAGCAATAAGTCCGTCAAAGTACACATTTCTACAGCTGTGTTTCAAACGTAAATCACGGGAATCAATATGATTCGGTCGCCGATCACTGAAACAAACATGTCTTTGCCACATGCCAGAGGGGGAAATGGGTTTTTACTTTTCACTTCTTTTGAACTGTGACAATAATTGCTGCGCCTAACAAAAATTTATCACACATTTTAAACACCATCACCGTACCAACACTTAAAAAGTTGATTACTGCAAAATTCTATAATACAAACCGCTAGTGTATTTATTTTAAATAAAATTAAGCTGAACACACACTTGCCCCGTGTCTCATGAATAAATAGTTAGTGACTTTTTTAACTTATAAAGGGCTAAGGTTTTATAAGTTGAAAGTAACTTCTTTTGTTGGAAGCTCTATAAGTAGATGATAGCACGATTGAGTGGGTTACAATAGCTGTAACCGGACCTGAGGCTCCAGAAACTAGGTCATATTTGTGAAGAGACACTCTCCACAGAAAATGGTGGTCGATCTATCCGATTTAAAGTAACATATAAAAGGAGCAAACATTTTCTCAGACACAACGTAAGATGCCAAAATGGTAGCTGTAAAAGGTAATGTTTATCTTAGTATCATACTTCATAACTTGTTATAGTAAATACTGTGAGTAGTTTAAACGAACACATTAAAAAACACTTTAACGGTTTTAAACGCGAATTATATTACTTAAACTTATTGAAAAATTATTTTAACTACGCCCGATGTTACTGATGTTTTGTAGCAGCTGCGGTCACGGGGGGTCACGTAAAAGTGTTTTGTTTAAATTTTTATAGTAAGTAATAGTAGGGAAAATGAGGTCATACGCGATTTTTACGGGAAACAAACCCCAACAACAAACCCGTTATTCTTTAGCTTCACAAGATATATCATCGATAGAGGAGAATGTGAAACACCTAAGCAATATAAGACCTAAGGAAGATGTACTGTCAACCTAATTTAGCTACGGTATATTTGGCATTCCACAGAGGGAAACCGACACGCGATCAAACCTCGCGGCTATGTCAAATTTGGGCGGAATTTTTATATTCCTACTACCCGTTAAATATCCAGATTTCCAGTCAAAGTTCAACATGTTTGAGCAAATGTGTTAATTGATTAGAAACGACTGTAATCGAACCCACGGCTAGTTGATTCTTACAATACGTTGCTATCATCTGACCAACGAGTATATCTAGAAGCAGTGCTTTATAACAAGATTTCTTCGTCCCCTGAATATTTAAAGCAGTAACGAATATTTAGATACAAAGGCACTGTTTAAAATGACTTTCGAGTAACAGTAATTGAGCTGAGCTTCAAGGAAATGAAAGACTAAAGAGATTTTTTTATTCTCGTTGTACTGTTAAGGAATAAGTTATGTGGGTTAAGTAAGGCTTACTTTTGCATTAATTTTTTACGCTACGCTTTTACGCTATAATTCGTCTTTATAATAAACAAGTTATTTATTAAAGTAATACTATTTAAATAAAACACTTTAACGGTTTAAAACGTGTATATTAGTCTACCCGTGACCACGGCAGCCTCCAAAACGTCGGGAGTCCGAAAGTTAAAATAATTTTCAAATAAGTTTAACTTATATATATCGCGTTTTAAAATCGATAAAGTGTTTTAACGATAGAATTATTACATACATATTTCATAGAGTGATGTTTTTGTCAATTCACCCAAGCTGCACGTTAAAATGTCGATCCTCTCCTCCACCTTGTTGATTGACCATAGAGGAACTCAATCGTGCCACGTAACCCACGTGTCTCTATGGTTTCTCTATGGTCACTCTATGGTCATAGAACCCAACCTAATATAATACTTCCGAAATGTAAACTAAATAATATAACTTAGTACATTCACTACAAAATGATATAATTTTCGGGATTACGTAATTCGTAGTGTTTAATAAAATACTGAAGTTTGTTCCGATTCTAATAAATATGTCATAAAATTTTCATTTTCATTTATTTGCGTATGTTTAATTTAATTCTCACGCTTAAACTAGTCAAAGGTAATTATAATACTTTGAAAGTCTCCTCAATATTTATGTTGTAATATGTAGGTATAAATCTATGTAAGAGATATATATTTACACATATTTGTTTAAAAATCATAATATGAGATTAGGACACATATCATTTTTTTCCAGATACACAATGTCCCTGGTCCCACCCGGGGGCACAGATTCCCCAAGTCCCCGCCGCGCTGTCAGTCCCCTGCTAGAATCACGAAGACCGCACTGCACCCTCGCTTGTGACTACTGTGCGGCCATTTTAGAGGATAAATTTAGACGTAAGTATTGCCTCAATAATTATTCGGTTAACTAGCTGTGTCAGCGACTTTTTCCGCGTAGAATAGATATTTTGATATAGATGCCCAAAATAACTATTCCACACGGACGAAGTCGCAGACGCAGCTAGTTACTAATATACAAATCAAATTGCCCTTACGATTAAATTACTTTAAATTTTAGTATGCTTGTGTTTTATGGCAAACAGTTTGTCGCTTGCGTCATTACTTATAATAATGACGTCTTATTTTAAAAAGTACCCTGCCTACGCAACATTACTATATTCTCATTGATTATACTTTTGCTATCGGATAGATTAGGATTCTCTTGCCTCTTAATTGTATTTTATAAAAGACCATACAAGCAATTATGCTAAATTGTCATTTTTTAAAATAAAACTTTCCGTTCGTATTAACATAAATCTCTTGATTGAACCCATGCAAGTATGAAAATGCAAAATCTGAAAATGTCCGCGAGCAAATATTAAGTTTCGTATTTTACCATTCAAATTGCAGTCCAAGTCCAATTTAAATTCAAACGGTGAGCTGAACAGAGCATTTCAACCATTTTCACCTTTTCAACATTTATTTTTCAAGTCGTGCGACTGAAACGTAATATATCCATTTGAATTTCTGCATGAGATTGTTCTGTACTTTATAATGCTGGGGAATTTCTGTGCCTCCTTCATATCTGTATAATTAATCTCGAGTTAAGAGGGAGATGTGTCCGAAACCATGGACAGCAATTATTAATGTAATTTGAAAATTTTAGTAAATAAAATCGTGTCTGTAGTTAACGCGAGTAGTACAAATTTAAATTTAACGTTCAAAGAGCGTTTGAACCCAAATATCTTATATTGGGTCCTCACGTCACCACGGCTGTAGAATGAACCCGAAAGTCGGGCTGTAGGTCAATTCAATTGTAAACAAGTATCTAATATATTTCGCGTTTTAAACCGTAAAAATTTTATATTACAACTCGTATAAACTAGCTTACTCATATGCGTTGATAAATGACTTAGAACACTCTATAGTTTACGCGACCATTTAAATAAAACACAAATAAGTTTAACTAATATATCGCGTTTTAAACCGTTAAAGTGTTTTATTTAAATAGAAGTACACTTTCAAAATGTATAAGTTACGTATGTCTTAACATAAAAATCTAAAGGCTTTCAATTATACATGTCTATATAAAATGTATGTAAAAATAAGGAAAATAAGTGTAAATATTACTGTGAAGTTGAGGCGACGCCTTATTTAGTTCCTTAGGAAATTCGATGGCAGTTGAAATGGGTCGACTTCCCGAATCCTACATCTCATTTATTCTCAACATTTCGGAAATAGTATTTCGCGTTAGAACAAGTTACAAAGGAATAAAATTATTTTTGTTTCTTGTCTGTGCGATGTGCTTCTAATGATACGCGCTGTTTAGGCACTAATTATTACAGTATACGTTACGACCGGTTATAGATACAAATTGATTAAAGTTAAACATAATTGTTAAAGCCCACCAACCCGCACTGAGACAGCATGGTGGGTCTTGTTCCAGTTATGAATAGTTCAGAGGTTGAAATAAAGAGTTAGATAGAATCAAAGTTGTAATGTACACTAATAATAAGCTGTAACGTTTGTTTGTTTGTTTAAAATCGCAAATCTCTAAAACAACTTGTTAGAATTGAAACAATATTTTTGTGTTGGATAGACCATTTATCGAGGCAACCATTAGACTATAAAACTAAGCGACCAATAGAGGTGAAAAAACAGCGGGAAATGTGGAAAAAAGGTGAAAATATCATCTCTGAAGACTGCCGACTACGAGGAATTAATTCTTCTTTTAAATGATCTAAAAACTGTCCCAAACAGTATATGTCTTTAAAGAAAAAACGAAGGGACGCGGACGACGTCGTGTGTAATATCTATTACTTATTAACTGGTTGTTAACAAAAATAAATAATATGAAGCCCAAAATAACTATTCCACGCGGACAAAGTCGCGGGCACAGCTACTAATTAATAAGGCACGTATGTATAAATTGCTTTCCTCAAATTAATTCGTTGTAAATTGTCTTTATCATATTACTTTGTGTATTTTGTTCGTATCGCGAACGCCAACGTCCCAAGTTTGTTGACATTCTTGTAATACCTAACTATTTCACGTATATAAACTTGCTGAATTCTTAAACTATCCGTAAACTACCTTATAACGGAGTTACAACTTAAACGTAAACGAAGTTTGTGTCAAAAGACCTTATCTTAATCCAAACTTGCCTTCTATTTTGAAGAAAATTGATATATTTGAAGGCAAATAGATTTACTCTTATCTTAAAGAAAAATTATATTCATAACGTTCATGATACATAATTTTCCAAAGCTATATAAAACGCTTTTTGTATTATTCAACTGGTAGGTAATTATACAAAAAGAAAATCGTGTCCCCCCGTGGGGCATGGGGCGAACACATTTCTGTGTCCATTTCACTGATTGGTTTTATTTACTTACACCTATTTGACCAGATTGCTGTGCCCTCCCCGACTGAAACAATCTATTGTCTCCGGGATTCGAACTCAGGACCTCTCGCGTTTAACGCAATGTTAGGCACCACATTTCGCCATATAGGGACAGTGGCGGTCCATATACATGTTATTTGTATTTGATATAACAATCGATTAGTACAGCACAGAACGTTAGGGTGAAGGTTTAGCTCCCGCGCTTGTGGTTTTCAATTTACATTACTACATAGCATAAAATCAAGCTTTTTCTGTCCCTATGTTCGCTTAAATCTTTAAAATTAAGCAACGAATTTCGATGCGATTTTTAATAGATGTTTTTTTTATAGATAGTGTGATTCAAGAGGAAGGTTTTTTACACAACTTTCACAATTTTTCTGTAGTGTATTTAGTATCAGCATTGCATCCCAGCGAAGCCGGGGCGGGTCGCTAGTATAATAAACAAAATAAATCTTCTTTTAAGTTTGTTTGCTATTCCATAAATATATCTCTTTATGAATGAGTTCATAAATATTTTTAATCACTTCCAGACTACTGATCCTCTGTCACTCAGACCGAGACTCAGTCACTCTTAGGACCTAATCCTTACATCCGACCCCTGTTAAGAAGGGCTGCTTTGTCAACCGTCGCGTTTATTGAAAAAGGGCTTACACATAACATTGTGTATTTGCAATTTCTCAACCAAGAAACACAGTTGATTTCAATAATTTTTAGAGCAAATGTGTTTATTTTTTTATTTATAACTTTATTTAATTTTTCTATGTATTATTGCTTTATTATTTATAAAACACACCATAGAAAATACATATTAATGACGCAAAAATGTATGTATATATATATATATATATATATATTTACTTATGTATGCACAAATTTATTTTTGTTTGGTACCTATTTTTGTTTTATAATTACAATATTCCATTCCTCCAGTTCTTATTTATATTTGTTTTATTTACATATACCGTATAAAATTGGTTTTAGGTAATGCTGATATGCGTAACAGAGGAACATCACCATTATCTGTATCACCGCGTCAGTCCCTAACCGGGGAGCCACCCTGGACATTACCTGATGACGATCGTCCAGACTTTTCGGCCCTAAAGGAAAATATACACAGGATCAATAAGTAAGTACCCAATATATATATATATATATATATATGTATCGTTTAAATAAAATTAACACTTTTAACGGTTTAAAACGCGAAATGTATTCGTTATTTGCCGTTTATATTAACAAAGTTTCGGATCCTTCGCATCAGTCGTGGTTACGGGGCTGTAGTTAAAATGAATTGGAAATAAGTTATTTAATATATTCTGCGTTTTAAACTGAAAAAGTGTTTTATTGGAAATACTAAATATGTATTACTTTGTATTCGCAGAACAAAACATTTTTATGTTATTGTTTGCGAAGGCATTAATTAAAACAAAAAAATAACGACATAGGCGGATCATGGCCGGCATCTACATTGTGAATGCACTGCGTTATTTTTTTTTCAATTTAAAGAGATTTTTTAAAACTTAATACAAGCCAATTTAAACCTTTTTTTTGTGTCAAAATGGGTATTCCCAATCTCCAACAGCTGAAATGTACAAAAGATATTCTTACAGGGATTGTGAAACGTCAACGCGGTTGGATATGCTGCTGACACAAGTGGAACAATATGCAAATAACTTAGAGGCGCTGGTGGAAGAACGGACATCAGATTACCTGGAGGAGAAGAGGAAATGCGAAGAGTTGCTCTATCAATTGCTACCTAAGTCAGTATCAATTATACACTTTTTACTCTTAGTATAGATAATACGAATTTTTAAAGAGGACGAGTTTTTTTCTTTGAACGCCCTAATCTCAGGAAATACTGTTTTTTTGTGGGGGGGGGACCATTTTTTATATCTAAGAAGGCTCCCACCTAAAAAAAAAAGGGGGCAAAAAAGGGGGGGGGGGAAAAAATTTTTTTTTGTGACCGGGGGGGGGGAAAAAACCCCCAAAAAAGGGGGTTAAAAAAAAAAAACAAAAAAAAAAAAAAAAAATTTGAAAAAAAAAAAAAACCCCCCCCCCCCCCCCCCCCAAATTTTTTTTTTTTTTTCAGGGGGTTTTTTTTTTTTTAAAAAACCCCCCCCCCCCCCCCCCCCCCCCCCCCCCCCCCCCGGGGGGTTTTTTTTAAAAAAATATTTTTTTTTTACTCCTTTTTTTTTTCCCCCCCCCCCCCCCAAAAAAAAATTTTTTTCCCCCCCCCCCCCCCCCCCCCCCCCCCCCCCCCCCCCCCCCCCCCCCCCCCCCCCCCCCCCCCCCCCCCCCCCCCCCACCCCCCCCCCCCCCCCCCCCCCCCCTTTTTTTTTTATAAAAAAAAAAATATTTTTTTGTGTTTTTCAGTCCGAAATTACCTAAGACTTACATTTACATTTCAAATTTCAGTTCAAGTTCAAGATATCTGAGAGAAATGATAAAGTATGAAAATTTGAATATTTTTCACACGATGGCACTATATAAGTTAAAAATCGACTATAAATTGAGCTAATTTTTTAAAGCAATGCTAAAAATAAATTGAGCTACCGAGTCAAGAGGTTAAAGTAACAGCTCGCAACGCAGTAAATACCGGTTCAAGTCCCGCCCAAGTCGTATTTTTTTTAATTTATAAAATTTTTTTAATTATAAAGTGATTTCTAAAATATGTTGTACCCAGTCGGAATTGATTTGTGGATCGCCATACATTTGTCATACATTGTTACGATTAGACCAATTCAATTCGTCATCAGTTAGTTTATTATTAAGTTGTAATAGGTTGTATGATAGAGGACGACAGACAAGCATATGGTTCACTTGATGGGAGGTGAAATATAACTTCTAAACAAGATAGGTTGTCGACCTATTATCACTTTGGATATTTGGAAATTCTCAGACAGAGACCGAAACGTGATAAATTTTCACGGCTCTTTTATCTGATGACGGTAGTTCGTGATGCGGTCGGAATCTCAATATTCCTTCCAACCATGTTTCAGAAAACTATAAATTAATTGAAAACATGTCGCCCTTAGTGGTGATCAATCTCACAACATGTTGATACATTGCTACAATCACATCAACGAGCCCCTCAACTTAAAATAGAGAAAAACTTTACCTTAAGAAGAAATAAAGATTTCTACTCCTTAGATTAACTACTCCCTTAGGTAAACGGCCAAGCGTAAGAAACGAGTGCAATCATACAAAAAGAAATTAGTGAGGTTCGTGAGAAATAGAGAAAATTTTTGCTGAAAATATTCTATAAAATACTGCCTGGCTCTACGTGAGTAGTACCCATTTAGATAAAACACTTTAACGGTTTAAAACGAAGATATCGCGTTTTAAACCGTTAAAGTGTTTTATTTAAAAAATATTCTATTAGTTCATTTTGTATTTTAATTAAACTTAAAAGGGACTAAAGAAAATTCTTTGCTTTAATAAGCAGAGTATTGGTTTTTTTAATTAAGTATTTTTTCAATTATTCTTCCAACAGACGTTTATGCTGATAGAAACATTTACAAATTTTAGGTCATATTTTGAGGTTAAAAATAACAAATGTTGAACATTCCAAATGCGCAATGTATAATTGGTTCAATGACAAATAAATAATCGATATTTTTTTGCAATTTATTATCCATTTTTTATATAATTTATGCCAACATGTGTTATGTGGAAAACTATATTTAAGTGTTCAGAGGAATACCAAGTAATATCTTCAAATTTAAAAAAACACTTGCAGCAACCACACCACAACACGGAAATGGATCCGGTCAAGTCCCGTCTGTGTCGTCAATTGTTTTCACATATATAATTTATAATTTATAATCATCTTGTCGTTTTGGATTAGACATCCGTTTTCTTAACTGATACAATTACTAAGCTAAAACAATTTTTAAATTTTGTTAAGATGCTTATGGGAATTTACGCTTAGGTCCGTCGCATCACAACTCATAATGGGCCAGCCAGTAATGGCAGAGACTTACGACCAAGTTACAATCTACTTCAGCGATATCATCGGCTTCACCCAGTTGTCAGCGGAGTCCACGCCACTAGAAGTTGTTGATCTACTCAACGATCTTTACACCAGCTTCGATTCTATCATCGAGAACTTTGACGTTTACAAAGTAAGTCGCTTAAATACTTGCTACGTTTGTTAGCTGTCCTCATTATTAAGTGGTTTAAGTCAAGCACTGTCTGTATTTTACGCAAGTAGTACACATTAAAAAAAAAACTAACTGATTATTCAAATTTAGCCGTGGTCACCAGGAGACTCCCCACGTAACCACTGCTGCTGCAAAGCATCCGAAATGTCTAGCCGTAGTTAAAATAATTTTCAAAAAACCTCTTGAGAACCTTTTTCCGGTCACGTCGACCGAATAGCCCTAAAAACAATGATATGCTGAACGTTGGCCGTGAAAGCCTTCGACAATTTACTAATTTTCAACTGAGTTTAACTAATATATATCGCGTTTTAAACCGTTAAAGTATTTTATAATATCAATGGTTTATGTTACTTTTCTGAGCATAAATAATTCTCTTGTTGAACATTTGTGAAAGCATATTTGTAATTCTTTACTGCTTGCTATTGCCATTTTATAAATTCTGCCTTTTACGCGATTCTCATTGTTTAAGAAGTCCCAATAAATATACTGATTTAATAAACGACTAGGGCAGCTTGACTGCCCTATTTAAATAAGATGGTGATTATTTCCTTATTTTTTAGGTAGAAACAATAGGCGATGCATATATGGTTGTTTCCGGTCTTCCGATGCGCAACGGAAACCGACACGCAGCGGAAATAGCAAGAATGTCCCTCGCATTACTCAATGCTGTCAGGGTCAAAACTGTTCCACATCGACCTGGTGAGAGATTGCTGTTGAGGATCGGTATGCACACAGGTAATTAGAACCAAAGTTAATTCAACAAAATTAAGTATATACCAAGAGATGCCAACGTTTTTATGATAGAGTAGGATAGACCACATAATGTTGGGTAAAGTACCTCAGCATATAACATCTAAGAAAGACGTGCTTTTGACCTATTTTGGCTTTGGATATTCGGAAAGTTTCATAAATTTCAGAAATATAGGCTTGACACAGAAACTCCATCGTACAGAACATGGCTCTTGGTCTTAAGTTCCACTCCTGACGATGAGTTTTCGGTCTCATCTCTTTATTTATATTTTTAGGTCCTTGTGTGGCAGGTGTGGTAGGTTTAAAAATGCCACGATATTGCCTATTTGGAGACACAGTAAACACGGCCTCTAGAATGGAATCGCACGGTGAAGCGCTAAAAATTCACGTTAGCCCCAAAACAAAGGAAGTTCTAGATTTATACGACTGTTTTGATTTAGAGTGTAGAGGAGAAATCACTATGAAGGTATGTTAATGTTAATTCACTGCGTGCTGCTATCATTGTCAATTCCATATTCGATTGGTTTTATGAATACATTATTCTAACACCATTATATATATTTTTATATAGACAACGTAAAAATTAGAAATACATATGTGTTTTCCTTTATTATTCAGGGCAAAGGAAAAATGACGACATACTGGTTGCGAGGCGAAAAACGACAGAATGAAACCCAATATGAGCAAATAAACAATGAACAAAATCCTATCATGAATCCCAGTATAACCTTTCAAGGACCCGATAGCCCGGCATCACATTCGCTCACTCACAGTGACAGTCCTAAGCGGAACGGAACGAAAGATAACGCCAAAACAGTAGAAATACTAAACGAAAGGGATCGAATCAAACACGAAATCGCTTCTTTCGTTGCTAAAGATCTCATCAACAATATAGATAACGCCGTTCGCGAAATAAAACTATCACAAAGTGGGAATTTAAATAAACTGTGTAATGGTAACGGAAAGGATTTGATAACGCCGACATATGATAAAGAACTTGTTATCAATAAAGGGAAGGTAAGAGATGTTGTAAACAGGCTTAACAGTAGCTCAAATGTAACTGAAGTTAAGAATAGATCTAAGATAGATAATGTTAAGTAAGGTTTAAAAATATGTACGGTCTAAAATTCATTAAATATTAGCATGTTTAAAGTAAATAAACTAGATGGATATCCAGATTTACTAACGATAATAAAAGACCAAAATTAACTTCACTGAAAACAAAGAGAAACTGTAAGTTTACTGCAATAGGGTAAAAGTGTAGTGCAAAGCACCTAATCTAGTCAATATTAGATGTTGTAACTAAGATTTTTATTAGATAAGGGTTAGGCTATATAAAATGTGGGTCAGGCTGTGGTCTCCTATAAATGATGTTTGTTGATTGCTTAATGCCCAGTAAATTTCATGCTCGCTATACAACGTCTCGTTCACTTGAGTAAAGTTTTCAACAAATTTATTAATCCATTGATATAACTAGGGACGCGGTGCAAAGCGCTCATTCAAGTACCAATATCAGTTTGTGAAAGTGGTAACAATAGTAAATATTATTATGCAGTAAGCAGAACCTACGCTGTTTATAGGAAACCAGAGCCTAAAAGAAAACTATGTAACATAGAAATATAGAACCGCAAAAGCGATGTATGAGAAAGCTGAAGTGAGATGTTTATGTACAAGATTATATTAGATATTACTAGATATAGAATATAGAACCCGTAGTGTTTCTACTGCCCTTTGATACTTCACTTCGTAAAGACTTATTGTGTCCTTTTTAAAGACCTAATTTCATCACCATTTTTCTTCGGAAGGAAGAATCAAACCTCAAAGACTATCAACAAATATCTTATTCTTTTTTCCTTGTTGGTGTCGCATTATCACGGAAAAAGACCGCAACGGGTGGACTGTTGAATCCAAATAGTTATTTTTAAAATTCGGCTTTAGACTGTCTAAATACAAAATACTGTGTGTAGTTTAGGCGAATAGTCCATCTAAATAAAACTATAGAATGAAATCAAATATTTTTAAAAATAAGTTTGTCACTAATATATTTCGCGTTTTTAACCATTAAGTTATTTCATTGAAATGTGTCTAAAGACGTTTTTTATGCTCGGGTTAATTTTTACACATTACGTAAGAGTGCCAGAATTCTTGAAAAAGAAGTCCTCAAATGTTAAGATTCTACAGGAGAGACAAAGGTTGTTGAGGCTCAAACTTAAGTGAAACGTATCAGGATTTGAAACCGTTGACGTAAATATGGGCTGACCTTTTTAAGCTGGGTCTTTTCAATATATCTTTCCTGTCTTTTCTAGTCATTGTGCTTAAATAACTCTATTGAAATTCGTTATCTAGCTTATTCAATGTGGATTGTACTCAATATCGTAATTTTCGTTCTAACGTTATGTAGAAAGAATTATGTAGCAGTTAGGATATTTTATTTATGATTACCTATTTAGCTACTATAGTGGTTAGAAGTTTTGTGATAGTATTGTATATGTTTGAGCTGTGAATTCTGTTATTACATATAAAGTATATAGATATTATTTATACAATTATTTCGAGTTGTCAAGCACAAATTCTCAGATTTACATTTAAAAAAAATAAACGGATAATAATGTAATTTTAGTTTCTTTTCTTTCTTTTTTGGAATTACATTGCCTTAATAAGATTTTTCTTTCTGACTGAGCATGAAAAAAGGTTGGAAATCTCACATAATGATAGTGACAGCTCGTTCTTAATAGCATTGGGTCTACGAGTATAATCAAAGAAAAATATTTGAGTATTCTTTTTATACATGGAATATTTTGTAAATACATTCGCTATTATTATTATTATATATATTCTTGGATAACATGAGCTGCAATAATTAAAATACTCACTGGTTTGATTATCGTATAACCATCACTCATTAATCGAAAAATGGCTTAATATTTTTATATAAGAACTTAGTGTAAAGCTATATCAAACTTATGCAATCGAAAAACACATCATTTTGTTTATATAATTGGTGTGCGAAACAACATACACCATTTTTAAGGAGGACATATTACAATCATGGGATCCACTTGATGGGAGGTATAATGCCCCAGCCATATAAAATCTACACTAGATGCGCTGTCGGCCTATATTGGCTCTGGATATTCGGAAATACACAGGCGTGAAACGTGATCAAACTTCACGACTTCTTCTTCTGTGGACGATGATTCGACCCAGACAGAATTTAATTCAAGTTGACTTCTAAGTTTAAATATCTTTGAAAATATTTTATACTAAGATATACAAACATATGAAGAGACGAGGAAGATTTCCCGAAAATCTTATTAAGCGAGAGGGCTCGTCTTGAATGGTTATCTTCATTAATTGGAGCTGTCGAACAAAGGATCGATGGGTGTGCATGCCTGGTACCAAATAACATCGAGTCATGATCAATACATTTAACATTCGGAATTGTTCAGACATAAAAAAACCAAACGAGTGTTGTCAAAACATTTCTTTGCAGATATCTAAATGGGCTTTAAGATGGACATAAAGATGCTATGTACTTCAATATTGGTCATATCAAATTATCTGTATAGTTAAGAATATGATAGAAGACACAAGTGATTACTTGCAGACAATTGAGATTGACAGATGTTTTAATAATCAATTTATCCAGATGTTATCGAATCCTCACGAACGATATATCTTTGATTTTTAAACTTTCTTCTTCTAAGTAAAACACTTATGAATGAAAAACTCATATATATTTAACACAATTTGTAACACATCTAAGTATATAATTTTCATGATAATTTGGTTGCTTTTAATCATATTCTTTTACTCCGAATAGAATAAAAGAATATAACTTTTAGAATTGCAGCGAAATAGAATGAAATGCTTTCTCTATAAAACTAAAAGAAACGTCTCCCTAGGGATAACTGTGGTCTTGAAAAGAAAAACCACAGTGTATAGAATCTACAGTAGGCAGCTTATTTGTGATAAACTTAAAGTAAAGTAAATGACAAAATTATATAGTAAATTCGGAGAACAAGTAAAGTAAGTACGTAAGAAGGTATGTTCAATAGTATAAAAAGCTGTATTTATTCTATATTTTTATAAAAATGGAGGAGATAAATGAACTGACAATCTTCTTAAATAACAACAATAATACGTCAGGTTCATTTAAAAAGAAAGATTTTTTACTTTGTTTGTATATTACGATAAGGACTAAATATTTCAGAGGATTAGGAATGACCTACTGAACGGATGTGTAAACTGTGGTCGCTTGCAAGGTTTAGATTATCTTTGCAATATAAAGTTTTAACGTAGCTATAATTTGAAATTTAATCGAAACATTGTGCTTTAGCTGAAATACCTTGCGGATCATGAAAGTATCTGAAAATGAAACTTCATAAAGATTTCTAGAATCCAAAAAGCAAAGAAAATTAATAAACATTAATAAATACAATGTTATTAAGGGTAAGTTCAACACGTCTCCGTCAATGTAATCTGAAAAAAGACGTGCTATAAAAATTTTAATGCTATGAAATGGCTAGTCTTCGGAATTTTTATTAAAGCACTATGAAATAGGATAATAAATAATGTACATAAATGAATCCCTAACATAAAAAGCTATGAAATAAAACGTTTTAAACCGTTTAAAACAGAAAGTATACTGTGTTTTATAAAATGTGTAACCTTAGAGACAATATAAATATATTTTTACGTTTAATGTGTTAAATTGACAACCTTTTAAGATTTTAAAAGCACGGGTACCTACGGATAGTCAAATTACAAACAAAATGTCTACCTACAAGCACAATCTTGTCTTATCACTTAAAGAGTTATTTTAGGAATTAGTCTTATACAGGTCTAACACTTTCTGTAGTTTACACGAGTAGTACACATTTAAATAAAACACTATAGCGCTTCAAAACCCTGTATATGTTGCAAGAATCCGGCCAGTTTCGCCAAATACCAACTTGAACGGAACAGATGGCGCTAGCGTAGCAGAAACGTCGGGCCGTAGTTAAAATAGTTTTAACAAATATATATCGCGTTTTAAACTGTTAAACTGTTTTATTTAAGCTAAAAGTAGTTGAAAATGATTTGGTCGTCTCTGGTAAACCTTAAGCGTTTTTATGTTCCTACGTCGAAGAGCCCTTTGTATTTTATGGCCCAATCTGTAGCTCTCGTTGCGTCGTAAAAAATAATTCCCCTACAATATACTCTAAGCTATTGATCATCTTTAGGACCGCAGTTTAATGAAAGCTCTGAAACATCTCTATAGAGTATAAAGGCTGTACTTTTTTGAAACACTTCTTACAACTTGTATATGTATTATGTCCCCTAATTGGGGAGAATCATTCAAATAGTTAGCGCTTTACGCTGCTAAATCTCAACGTTGAAGAATGCTGGTATCTATACTAATATATAAAGCTGAAGAATTTATTCGAATCGAATTCACGACTCGTTGATTATTGTTTTATATATTATAAACTTATGGTACATACGCGAGCATTCGTTGTCTACTAATCTTGAGGTCAACAGTTCGATTCTTGTAGAAATTGTTTTGTTGAAATTCCTAGCTGTAGGGATTATACGCGTGATAATAAAATGCCAATGATAAAATGTTATTCAATTTTAAATGTGAAAATTTATGGCGATATCGCATTACAAGTGATAAACTGGAAATGACGTTATAAACTTGAAGCCGTTTATAACAAAGTTTAGCGATCTAGGTTACACTGTGACGTCATCGATCAACGCCAGTGACGTCACAGCGGCTAAAATAGACAAGCTAACGTTGTAGGATTGATTGGTGAGTATTCATAGCTGTAATATATGAGGAAAGACAAGAATAAAATTATTATTTATTATTGTTGACGTTACGGTCGTTTTGTTGTATGTGGACGATTTGCGTAATCTAGATCTTCTTTGTCTATGAGGTTTTCAGTGCGTGTTAGTGAACTTAAACCATCGTGATACCTGGCTGGCACTGGAACGTTAAAGACCTCAGTCCCAAATACCAAACTAACTTTATTCCAGACCGAGATTCCAATTCTAGTCTGAAATGGGTTCAGACTAAGCACTAGGCAGTGTTTTAATAGGTACACAATTAAATTAAT